AAAATTAATTAAGGATGATAAGTATAATATTTAAAAATAATAATAAAAAATAAAACAAACGGGTCAACCCGTCAACCGCGGGTTGACCCTAACCCGACCCGTGACCCGTACGGATTGATAATACTGGTTATCTACGGATTGCGGGTTGAGATGTGTAGACTCTAACCCGTTTTTGTACGGGTTGATAATACGGGTTATCTATGGATTGCAAGTTGAGATGCGTAGACCCTAACCCGTTTTTTAAGGATCGGGTTAGGGTCGGGTGGATTTTTGCGAGGTCTATCTCCGACCAAAGTCCTTTTTTTTAATCAGGGAACCTTTTAAGCATAGGATCAAGCTTAACAAACTAAGATCGAATAAAGGGCCAATCTCTTAGGTTGCTAAGTGACTTTCCTCTCAAAATTTTTATAAATTTTTCAACTTACAATATTATGTATTTTCATATATTAATACTAAAATAAAAAGAGAGTAAAAATAGTATTTTCAATATTTATTTTTCATAATATAATTGTCAATCCATAAATTTTTCTTTCACACTTTTTGAAAGATAAAAGTTTCCTCTTAACTTTTTATATGTAGAACTCATTTAATAATTTTTTTATTTAACTTCCCTTATACCAAATTACTAATATTTTACCAAAAATAGAAAAAGTTAACAACCCAATAAAATTTCATTACAAAATTTATCAACTTTTCCGTATAGTATTTTTCTAATTATTTTTCATTAAAAACTGTCCTAAAAAAATTGACAACCAAACATATCTTAAGGTTAACAGATCCTAAGGTTTTCCCAGGGGGATTTTTCCTTACTGAAGCCTCTTATACTCATGCTTAGGAGTAGAGGGTGGGCGATCGATCATAGCCAAGTTGTGTTTCTGTGCAGTTCTTGGCAAGGTTCTACTTTTTCCCACTGCTTAATTGGCTTAAAATCTTTAAAAGAGAGAGCGAGAGAGAGGGAGAGAAGAAAGAGAGCTAGTAAGTGAGAAGTAATCTTGTTTTATATTCTTTAATTTTTACCTCTCTATGTTATACAACAAACCACTTCAATTTAAGTACCGAGTCCTTCCGGTCAAGTGGCAATAGCCACTTCAGGTGCACTTACCCTACCCCTGGCTTGGGTCCGACCAAGGCCCTTGTAAAAACTGTTCAAAAAATAAAAAAAAAAAACCACTTCAATTTAAAATTCTTTCAAATTTTAAAAATAAGACTCTTAATTATTTTCATAGATTCTAGTGATAAAAAATTATAGTGCACATCATTGGCAGTTTTTTTTAGCTTGTACTTGCTCATTGTATCTCTCTGTCCTTATTGTTTATCCCTCTCATCGTTAGAACGTAGTACTTTCAAAATATATATATATTTTAATTTCTCACTCGATATTTAGGGTTTCATTTTGATTAATTTAGATCGATTCGCATCGTGCACCTGAAAATGATGAATGAATCTCTCAAGTTGTTGCGTACATAAAATTTTAAATTTTAAATTTTATTTAAAATAAAACAAATCACTTGTCATTTGATCCAACCTTTGTTGGATAGTGCTTTCAAAATATGAATATTATTAAATGAATATTGGACATTTGAATAGTTGACGATATAAAGACAGTACATGGGCAAATCTTATTCCAACCGTAGAAACACCATCTCACGGGTTTAGACACAGACCGGTTTTTATTCCAATCGTACAACTCAGTTAATTAAAGCATTATCACTATCACATGGTACTACTTGGAGGAACAATTATTGTGCCGATTTTCATCATTTTCCTGAATTGATTTGTAATCTCCGAAGTCAGATCCAGACTAATTTGCAGAACTGATGGGTTTATATTCAGCACTGAATCCTGACCACCCAGTTCCCCAATTACGGGCCTGCAAAAATATGATTAATTTATTCATTAGTATTATTAGAAAATGGTTTTATAAATAAAAAAATACTAAAATTAATTAATTGATTAGTTACCGCGGAGATGTTATTATAGATACACATTCCATGCCTTCATCGTCGGCCGATAAACTGACCGTGAAAAACTTCGGCACCACAAAAAGTTGACCGGTCTTAACTTCGTCATCCAGCGTAAGGTTTCCGTTCAAGCCTACGATCTGCACCTTGCCGCTTCCTTTTGCCACGTATATCACTTGTGTTGAACCGTCGGCTGTATACGTTGGCGCCCGTACGGCGCAGCGTTCGAGCTTCAATCTGGTGGCACTCAACCCAACATCTTCAAGGAAAGGAAAATTGGCTCCCGTTAGTGTAATACACGAACCACCATTCTCCACCGCAACATCAGGCGGTGAATTTTCGATGCTTCTGGTCCACGTATTAGCGATATCGGTGGAATAAACTGGAATGCTGTTTGCTTCTTCTTGGCTGAGCTTGATGATGAGAACGCCCTTCTGGCTTCCAGCTATTTTCTGTGCTTTGTTTGCATCCATACTGAATGCTTTTCCGATCAATTCAGGCGAGAAAGCGGTGAGGATTCCTTGAGCGCCGGTTAACAGGAAATAAGTGATTTCGCCGGGAACCCAAGCTTTGGAAGTTTCTCCGATAAAGGTTATGACCAGATCCGATGGACCATGGTTGTACCACCACGAAACCGACCCGAGAGGAACGGGAATAATGTCTCCTTTTTGTAGGGCTATGTATGCGGCCGTCCCCTTATCTTTTCCGCCTGGAGTTATCAATCCGGCGCCACCTTTGTCGCCTGTATTCAACTTTGTAACATTAATGGAGAAAAGGTTGAACGCTTAACTAAGGGCTAATAAAAAGGGCTTTCATTCCTGACTTTATTCAATGAAGTGAACAGGGAAGAAAGCTTACCTTGAAGAACAAAACCGATTTTAGAGCAATCAGCGTAGTGAGGAAGAGCAAAACCCCGCGGCTTCAACACAAGCTTACCGGCGGCAACTTTGGCCTGACCAAGAACGGCCGATTCAGAACTCGACCAGTTGTAGTATGCTCCGCCTTCTCCTTCAAAAAACGTGCTTGGAAACTTGGGTGATAAATCCATGTCAAAAGCTAAGAAAATTAATCAAAACAGAAGATCTGCAAGAAAAGTGAGAAAACCAAGGATTGAGATGAAA